TGTCGCCGTCGCTGCCCTCCTCGCTCGCAGAGGGGGGAGGCCGCCTGCTGCGGAGCCGCCGAGGCCTGGCCGCTTGCCCTGCCCGCGCGGGAGAGGGCTGGGCCTCCCCGGGCACTGCTCCGTGTGCCGCAGCTGTGTTTCCCGGTCGGGTGCTACCGTGCTATGGCTTGATCCGCTCTGCCCGAGCCCTCCCCTGCCGGTAGTAGGAAGATGAGGCTACAGTGTTCTCGGTGTTTCTGGGAGTGTTTCTGGGTCAGTATTTACTCAGGCTTCCCTTAAGCCGAATGAGGTAAAGGAAGCTGTCGTTGAGGAAGAGCATGGAGTTTCGCTTACTGGAGGTGCTTTCTCTGTACCAGGAACAGTGGTTTATTAGAGCTGTGTGCCAGCTTTCTACAGCTAGTAAGCCCTAGTGTAAGTTTAAAAACATCTCAGTGAGTGTTATTGCATATAAAATTCTTCATTTCTGTAGGAGTGTAGATGCTACATTAAAGATGAAAAATAATAGGGAACACACAGTCTTCTGTCGGTTTTCTTTTCTGTATTTTGTGGCTGATGTTCTTTTTTGTGATTGTTTTTTAAAATAACAGTGCTTAGAGAAGAAGAACTGAAACTTCTCTGGGGATATTCAAAACCTGCCTGGACGCAATCCTGTGTAGGGTGCTCCAGAGGACCCTGCTTGAGCAGAGGGGTTGGACTAGATGGTCTCCAGAGGTCCCTTCCAACCTTAGCTGTTTTGTGATTCTGTGAAAAAAATGCTTTCCTATTTTATTCTAGTAACTGGAAAGAAGGCTGAAGAGCTCTGCATGAGCAGAGCTTTCATCAAATCCAGAAAACAGTATATGGATCACAGTAAGCCATCTGATGCGATTCATGAGAGCTGTTTAATCTGAAAGAGCCTGTTCTGCTCTTCTAAATATTCTACTTTTGTAATAAACCAATTCAGTAGCGTCCTATATTTCATGAGTGCAGCCATGCTCGCTATTGGCCACAAACTCAGATTCAGGAAATTCCATTTAAACATAAGAAAAAACTCACTGTGTGGTGAGGCTTGTCAGGTACTGGAACAGGTTACCAGAACTTGTGGCCTCTCCATCTTTGGAGATATTCATAATCTGACTCGGAAAGGCCCAGAGCAACCTGCTCTAGTTGATCCTTGATCCTGTTTTGGGCAGCGGGGTAGGACTAGATGATCTGCAGAGGTCCCTTCCAATCTCAGAGATCAGGTAATTATTTATAGTGGGATGTCTATGTAGTGCCTATGTACATCGTCATTTGTACCTTTCCCAGCATCAGCAAAGTTGTGATGTGACTGCATCCAGTTGAATTGGATGCTCTTTAGACCAGATAAACTTTAACTTGAAGTTATCAGGGCTAAAATCAGAGATGGTCTTCAGAGGAGTTGATGTTCCCATTACGCATCCTAAAGTGCTCTGGTCTTGTCTGCTTTTTGTTGTGGTTAAGCTTTAGTATTTTTGTTTAGCAT